CTGTCGCCACGGACCTAGAAACCCAGTGCCATAGTTTTCTTCGTCACGGTTTAGCGTCGTCAACCCATAAAACCTACGCTTCTGCCCAACGGTCATTTCTGCAATTTTGTGAATCCGAAAATCGCTTGAACTCGAATGAGTCGCCTCTCCCGTCGGGTGAATGGACCCTTTGCCTTTTCGCTACGTGGTTGGCGAATAACTTGAAACCTGCGTCCATAAAAGTCTACCTGTCAGCCGTCCGAGCACTCCATATCGAACATGGTTATCCTGATCCCTTAGTTGGCTGTCTGCGTTTACAGCGTGTGGTAAAGGGCATCAAACGTTGCAAAGGTGGCTCTCAAGATAAGCGTCTTCCAATTACACCGGACATTCTTAACGCGATCTATCGCTGCTTGGACTTCGCGGTCTACGATGACGCTTTGTTCTTGGCCTCTTGTTGTCTGGCATATTTTGGTTTCTTGCGATCATCCGAGTTTACTGTACCTCATGGCACTTCCTATTCTCCATCGCTTCACTTATCCCATCATGATGTTGCCTTTGACTATCAAAAACCGATCCCTTTCGGCAAGGGTGCACTCTGACTTTGGGTCAGGGTCGTTCTCCCTTGTGTCCGGTCGAATCGCTACTCAGCTACTTGGAGATCCGTGGAGGTGCCGACGGCCCTCTGTTCGTCCGTTCCAACGGCGCCCCCTTGACACGTACAGTTTTTACAGAGCGTCTTCGCCGAATGCTGAGCCAGGCTGGTATAACTGGTCATTTTGGCAGTCATAGTTTCCGGATTGGCGCGGCTACTACAGCAGGCCTGGCTGGCGTCCCCGAGCATATGATCCAGACCTTAGGACGATGGAGCAGTTCAGCTTACCTGGCATACATACGAACGCCGCGTAATTTATTAGCTAGTGTAACTAGGATGTTATGTTAAAATGAATATAAATATTAGGCTAGTCTGGCTTGTGTTGGTTTGTTCTTAACCCGACCTTCGGTTAATCCCTTCCCCCCGTGGTAGGTGCTGGTGGTACGTTGCGGTCAGTCCATGGAGTCAAGTGTCCATGGCAATCTGCCAAGGCACTACCTCTTCAAGTGCATAAGGGTGGTTATGTACTTGAAGGGACTGACCGTTTTCTGGAGGTCTGCCTTGGCAGAATTGTCATGGCAAACTCCTATTGCTACTATAATTAGCCTTATTATTACGTTTTTTGCTGTTTTGCCATAGCTGTTTGCCATTGCTGTTTGCCATTGCTGTTTGCCAGTTTTGCCATTTGCCAGTTTGCCATAAATGTTTGCCAGTGTTTTGCCTAATGTTTGCCATTGCGGTCATTTGCCCGACAAGGCTAGATCGCCGACTAGCCTTGGCCACCAACGGCACCTACCTCCAAACTCGGATACGCTGCCGTTAAATGTGGTTAAACGTAGATTTAAGCGAATTTAACGGCAGATGTATCTAGCAGCGGGGAGCCCCTGACGTCACTTAGAACAGTTGCAATTATCGCGCAATCGTCACTTTGCTACAGCTTGGCTAGCCAGCTACAACTGCTCTTTCTCTCTGTTCCCCTTCGCCCTTTCCCCACCCTGGTTAATGTTTGTTGATACTTAATTCCTTTATTTTTGTTTTAGTTTTGTTGTTTTGTTTTGGGGTTTTTTGGGGTTTTTTTTATTTGTTTTTCTTTATAGGATACAATCTATAGACTACTATAGAATGCGTCCTTTTTTTCCACTGATCATCAGTGTGACAGGTGCCGGAGGTCTGCCTTGGCAGAATTGTCATGGCAAACTCCTATTGCTACTATAATTAGCCTTATTATTACGTTTTTTGCTGTTTTGCCATAGCTGTTTGCCATTGCTGTTTGCCAGTTTTGCCATTTGCCAGTTTGCCATAAATGTTTGCCAGTGT